CCGGCAAACAGTCCTGCAAATCCGGAAAGAATCATCACTTTGGTATCTTCATTGACTGCTCCAACTCCCATCATTAATGATGCAATGGAGACCAAGCCATCATTGGCTCCTAGCAGAGCGGCACGAAGCCATTGTGCCCTTTGTGAGTAGTCCAAGTCTTTATCGTTGGAGAAATTGCATTGATTTTGTCGTGCATCGTGCTCAGGGATTACAATTAGGACATGGTTTGGGTTTTGGGCAGCCATGAAAAATATTATAGCAGCTAGCTAGGATGTTATCGCCAATGCGAAGTTGATTGTTGAAGACATAATGCTGCATGAATGAGTGAAGGGTTATATATACTTAACAGGTACTATAAAAATAGTGAGTGTTAGGGGATTTATGGAGGATTAAATAATGGAAATAAAGAAAAGAAAAATTTGCAATGCGATCTGAAGCACTCCTCTTTTAATATTTTGTAGTTGACCGGACATAATTAACGAGCATAAACATATGATATACACGATTGGGCATTTTATTTGGGCACTATGAGCATTATACTCTCTGGCGGCCTTTTATCTTTCATGTTTTGTGGCAATGGATATACCAAATGTTCTCTTACTGGAGTCTTCTCTTGCTTTGAACCTAGATTGCACGAAAATAGAGGGGGAAATAATTAAACTACTTTTACACTGTGTACGATAAGTTTGACATTTCAAGATGTGTCAAATCTGTATCATTGACTATTTAAAGTGTTATTAAAATTAATGTATAAAAAACTGTTACCTCACAGCAATGTCAAACTTGGTGTACAAGTAGCAAAAACTGAAATGGAAACATGCAACAAAACACAATATATATGTGGAGACACCATCTGTAAATGCATTCTATCAACTTTTAATTACGCATTTTAATTACGCATTTTGTAGGACCTACAACTTTATCAAGTTTTTAGTTTAACGTTCCATCAAATTCTATCAAAATCAGCTAATTTTTTTTTTTAATTAAAAGCTTTGTCAAACAATCTCTAAATAAGATTTGATAAAATAACCGACAATTTTAATCACGAACGAAGCCGCCTTTATTTCTATAGGTGGGATACATAAAAGTGGCAGCCTGAGAATGGATTGCCGTTTAGGAAGAGCACTCAATGATGTGATATAAAATTGGAGGAGTGTGTTCTCCACACAAAGTGGGAAGATTGTTCATTAAATTACTGAAGGGAGTGTGCATTCCACACAATGCCCAGAGAAGCCTCTCCACTCAGATGAAATAAAGCAGAGTGGTTGCCCTTATGTTGAAGCCTTTTTAACTCCATTGATGAGAAAACTAATTGTTTTTTCTTTGCTGTCTCCAACCTTTTTGGGTGTGGCAATTTTGAAGAAATTTACAACTATCATTGTTATATTCCGAGATAATGACATATAAATGAAAACCACGAAATGAATGAGTGAGATGACTGGCAACAGGAGGAGGAGTTCAGGTCAAGGTGTGTGATAACATCGGATGTTTATAATTAAATTTACGAGAAGTACAATATCAAGTCTTCTTCTTAGTAAATTTAGAATTAGGACATTTCATTTGTTCAAGCCTATAGATTCTTTATGATAGAGATCTTTATCGACTTGTTTATTTGTTCATCATACTCAAATATATCGTATTCTTAAAATTAGAGTAATGATATTTAGCACTATTAATGTCGAAACATCAGTTTACGTGACACTAATATGAGAAATGCAATTACATAAATAACTTAACTTCATCTTTCATTGAAAATATCACATGCACCACCTAAATTGGTGTCATAGCACTAGTGGTGCTAAATAGCTTTGACACGTTGAAAATGTATTCAACTTTGATTACTGCAAGTGTACGAATCGTTCAAGTAA